AGTAACTTATTGACAACTTTAGTTCCCCTCCCCCTCATGTATTTCATTTTCATTTAGCGAAGTCGTAAATAACATTAATCTGTTATGCTTTCTTCACGTGAAATAGTATTACGATACTTGGAAAACCATAGAGAGCATCTAAATAATAATTTGGTCAGATTTATGAGTATTCAATCAAATAAAGCATAATGAGAAACGTTTCACAAAATTGCTCTTAGAACAGACATCTCTATTTTTATATTCAATGCCCTAAAATTTAGTGTGTGTTCCTTTACTATTAAAACATTTCCTTCTCACTTCTCGTTTTCATTATAAGAACTGCATTTTTTTTATCGGAATTTAATATTCTGGTTAAAAAAATGGTGTTTTGTCAAGAAAACAAGAAGAAACGCGGCCCTAAAATGAGTGGTGTTATAAAAAACTTTGAATGTTTCTCAAAAACGAAAAATTCGAAAGAAAAGGAGTATAATATTCATTGTGAATGTTTAAAATTGGATAAATTTTTAATATCTGCAAGTACATAATCTTGTGCAAGTTCTTGTTTTCGTAATGCTAGTGAACTTGATGAGAGTGAGAGTGAGAGAATATTAACGTCGCACTGATTAGCAACACGAGGGCTTTTGGCGACGGTCCACGTAATTTTGAACCATGGTCAAGTGACGTGGACGACACCTGAGCTGGCACCCCCCTCTCCTAACTACCACACCACACCAACGGGAGGACATTTGAGCTCTCGACAGATTTAACGTGGTGAACTTGATGAACAAATCATGGAAGTGAAAATTAATTCACAAGAAAAAACACAGTTTCGGCCATTTCAGCTAATAAGGATACTCCATCTGAAGAAAAGGAGTCGTAAGATGAAAACTGAGAAAAACAGATTCAAATAGAAGTGATTTTGCACTTTATGTAGGTGCTCATATAGATATAGATTTAAAGGAACAAATTTTCTTTTAGTCTTGTGCATTAGAAATAGTAGTCGTGACTTTATCTTAGCGCACGCGGAATGTATCAGTTTTTTATTTCTTTTTCATCACATCATTTTTGCATCACACAAAGAACTCTCTTTTTCAAGAGTGGCAGTATTTATGCTAGAATATAATCGAACTTTTTTGATCAAGCTCATCCCGGGATTTAGAAACTTCGAATAAGGTAAGCGATATCTTTTTTCTTTCGTAAGAATTTGAAAACGAAAATTATTTTACGGTTTTCGTGTCTTTCTTAATGTATTGTTTTCGTTATCAGGTTATCTTTCGACTGTTGTTACAGAGATTTTCCATTTTAATAAATACCATAAATACTCTCTAATGTTAAAGGTTATTTATTTCGTTTATTCAGACTCAGGTTGATTTTGTATTCAGTTATAAGTTTAATGTTCAAAAATTTGTTGGTGATGTATAGAAGTACATTATGTTTGGTTTTGTAATCCTTTGTAAGATCTGACTTGGGGCCCAAAACCAGACCTTGCGAGGGGGGCTATTATTTTCCGTTACGCCACTGCAGCTATTAAATAGCTCATTATCCTTTTAAAATAATTTTTATAGTTACTACTAAAACAGTGAACGCAAATTTTTTCTGCTTGATTTTTGTTGGTATCGCTACAAACCCGTTTTTATTTTAAAAGCTATGGGGAAAAAAACCGAGTTTACTTTTGTTATTCTCAATACTTGGAATGAACTAAATAAAAAAAAAATATATATCATTTGAAATTTTTTTTCAAATTCTGGTTTAACCCCCCCCCCCCCCCCCCGTTGTTTATGTACACAGTAGTAGATGAACGCAGACTTTTTCTAGCAAGTATATATATAAATATATATGCGGGGGGCCCAACTATTTTCCGTTACGCCACTGACAAACGCAATAGATAGCGCGTTGGACATCTAATCCGAAGGTCGACGGTTCGAATCCCATCTGGGATGAAATATTTTCTGAGAATGTGATTTCTTTTTACACTATTATTTTATTGGAATAATTAAAACAATAGTCGCACACCATATATCGTTAAGGAAAAGGAAAATTGCAAGGAAAATCGCTTTATATTTTGCCACCTAATTTTGTGTGATTCTGTCATATGTATGTACACATTTATATTAATTGTAATTTTTGAAAAAAAGTAACTACAATAACATTTTTTCTTTGTTGACCAAAGTAGGAATTGACTTAGAAATTTTTTTATATTGTTTAGCAATGGATGTGCCGTTGTTTTAAGATATACATTTTTTTTTTATTTTATGAGATGGATATATTAACATTTACAGATGAATTTTAAATAACAAATCTGGTGGTTTTAAAATAATATATCCTGATAAAAAAAAACAACTTGAAAATATAGCAATTTTTAGGAGAATTTGAAAAAAAAAAATCTTTCAATTTGGAAGAATGTATGTGTGTGAAAATTTACGTTTCAAATGAAAAATATTTTGAATTTGAATGATGCAAATTTGTATTTACTGTATATTCAAATTGATTTGAAGTCATTTTATTTAGATGAAATCGCACTAGAGTTTTGGCATCGCTAACTGAATCGTCACGGTCATGAACTCGTTACCGGCGATTCTCGAGTTTGAATTCTAGGGCCACTGAAGATTCACCGGTAGAGGGGTTGATGCATGTTAAACAAGTCGGGGTTGAAAGTTCTCACGTTGGTATGGTGTGCAAATTTGGAGCCGGATGTCGGCTCATGTGCCATTTTTAAAAAATTAGACACTTTTATCAATTTTATTTTTTATGTTTTACTTTTATTTTTTCAATGCACATATGATTGTTAGCATTTTTTTTTTAAATTCTGAAAAACATGCACTATTTCTTAAAACTGCAATAGCCCGTGCAACGCCGGGCTATGCAGCTAGTCATTTTAATAAATACTGATGTTTCTAAGTAATAATCCTTTGAGAAAATGTTTTACGTACTCGTACTGTTCTTTGATGCAAAAACCAAATCAAGAAAAAATATGTCGACAAATAAATCTAAAAAGTTTTATTGACAACCGTATTTTTTTTATAAGTACTATTGTTAGGCATTCTTGAATAAAATAGTTGATACTTTTCTTTATATCGTTTCGAGTTTTTATAACGAAGAGAATTTTTTCAATACGTCAAAATATTTATTTTATTTCTCATTGATATTTTATCTATTTGGCATTGTTAATAAATAAATAAAAATTTGATTCAAATTTTTAATGTCTTTCGAAGCAATAACTTTCATTAAAAATCAAAAGCAGCAGTAAGAACACCTTTTAAGCGTGTCCAATTAACTGACACAATGACATAAACAGCAAACGAAAACTTAAGTACAAGAGCTGGGCGAAGAGACAGATATCACATTTCCTCACACTCCAAAAACATGAAATCGCTTTCTACCTTCGAAAAAAGTATTTTGCGTAAAGATTTTTAAAGTGGAATTACTCAAACACACAATTACCGAGAGACAAAAGAAAAATTCCTTTTCCTTCACTAATTATCTGAAGAGGCAATTATTGGAATTTTCTAAGATGGTATTCGAAATTCCGACAGCTCTAAATTCGACAAATATGCATTTCGAACATAAAATTCTTTTTGCTATCTGCGGAGATATTTCTTTAAAAAGCAATGGGAAAAATAACGATTTTATAAACGTAGTTTATTTTAAAAAGATTTCTTTGGCTCAATTTTTATTTTTTTAGAAATTCCAGGATATATATTATTTGGTTTTTATTCCACACTACGCATCTAACAATTGGAATTCTGAAAGCTGACAAAACAGATTTTAATGCACTTTTCTTACTTTCGAAATTTCAAGTATTCTTTCGATTTTTTTTTTGTTTGTTTGTTTCGGCGAGTTTTTCAAATCCCATCTCGAAATTTTAAATCAGAATTTCTGTCACGGAAAAATGCAAGCTCAGATTCCTATTCAATCGCAAGAAAATTCTATTTTAAACAATGAAAATAAATTGTAAGGAATGAAAGAAAGTTTCAAAAAATTTTCATTCCAAGATCTGCTGTTCTTAAATATTCTGTTTTAGTACGTTCTAGATGTTCCATTTTGAACCAAAGTTGCATCACAGTCCCTTGTTTGATAATAAAAAGATTCCAATTCAAAATAAAATAATTTGATAAACTTTAAAAATTTTAAAAAATAGAATTTACATCAAAAGTTTGCAACAATGGGTTACTCGTGAGATCTATACTCTCCAACTCTGTTTTTTCCGTTCAGCCAAATTGGCACTTTGAGCTGGAATACTTCCACTCCGCAAATAAACATTCGGTGACAAGTACCATATAGTCACTTCAAAGTCTAGTGCAACTTTGAGCCTTACTGGCTAACCTAGCCAAGATACAGCAACTAGTTTCAATCAAAGGATAGTTTCAAAATAAGCCACCCTCGCCTCAGCACTAATGAGTTGTATTTTTACACTAGCTTTCAGGAACATGCTTGCAACGTAAGTTCTTTATAAGCATCAGAATGGTATGCGCTACTAATGGTATGCTACTAAATAGCAAACTGATAATAGTTGTTATGTGGACAATATTGCCACACCAGAGTTCCTGAATTATACATCCGCTTATTCCTAAATCATAGTCGTTATTTTAGATATTAGAGCCTTCTCTTCGAAGAGTTTCAGATAAGAGTATAACCGTTATTTTTTTATTATTTTCTTGCCTAGTCTGCATATTGCGCACTTAGTTCTAACGCTCTAAACTTTTTAACGCAAAAATATCAGTTTGAAATCCTTTCAAGCTTCTCAATCCCTACTGCGTTCTGATCCCGCGGGAACCTCAACGATCGGCGAGATCTCCACTACAACCAACACGAGGTGGAGGTACCGTGGCAAGTTTAAGAGTTAAAGTTTCATTTGGAAAAATTAAGTCTCATGACAATTTTATATTCATCAACAAAAATCAATTTAAAAAAAAAAAATTTCTTTTAGAATATAATACTTCATAGTTCACAAGTCTTACTTTTGATTAATTAAAGGCTAATTCTTAGGTTCCTTTCTCTGTCATAAGACATTCTACAGAATCCGCTTGCATGCATTGGTTCTTGTCCGATCACTGAAATTAAGCATCATCGAGCGTGGTCAATACTTGGGAGGGTGACCACCTGGGAACACCGCGATTCGATAGTATGGAAATAATAGCCCACGGACCAATATTACGAGGTGTTTCTATTAAATAAATTACTTAATCGTTTCATAATTTCAATAAGTGAAAAAATACCGTTAAGTCCGGCGCACTTGCACTTTAAGCTGCAATTTTTAGTTTTTAGGTATATTCGCCATATAACGCGCACCCTTTTTTTCCACGGAGAAACCCAAAATGTACGAGTGCAAAGCTCTTTATGTTTTGAAATAATTTATTCGAGGTATTATTCCAAACTCTAGAAAAATATAATACTTCTAGAACTGCAACTCTTTAAGTTCATAAGGAGTATGTCATTTCTTTTAAAGAAACAATGTTTCGATTTATATAGAAATCTAATTTTTTTCTGTGCTCATCTTTTTAATTTTTATTTTTTAAACTCCCATTTTTATACCCGACGTATAATGCGCAACTGTAAATTTCGATCATATTTCTTGAGTTAAAAGTGCGCGTTATACGCCAGATTTCACAGTAGTTATTGTTCCGAAAAATTAAAGTTGTATATAATAAAAAAACTATTATAATTAGAAGCGTAACGGAGAATATTAGGGCCTCCCTGCAAAGTCAGGTTTTGAGCCCAAAGCCAGATCTTACAAATGATTGTGCACTTGCCGTCAGCTAGAGTCCTGCCCCCCCCCCCTCCTATGCGGGGGTGTACGTTACGCCACTGATTATAATAATGAAAACGCCATAAAGTTTCATACTTTTTAGTGTTAATCAAGCTAATAGAAATAGCCCATTTAAATTAATATTTAAAAATACGTTTTACTATAATTTGTTAAATGGCCACTTGCCATTCAGCATTATACAACAACAAAAAGAAAACTATAATTCACACACTTAAAGGAAGATGTCTTAATAACATTTCCATTAATTTTACTTCGCTAGATTCCACGTTACGCCATTTTGAAATGCAATAAAAATTTCAATCACGACTCAAACGGATGCAAAAAGATTCAGATTCGGTGCGAGACAACTCTGTTTCAAACAACTGTAACAGGATGTAATCAAACGGAATAAAGGAAACGTTCTACACATAATAAAATACCTGCAATTCTGTTATTCTGATATTGACCTCAGTTAACGGCGATTTCGAGATATAAAAATGATTGAAGAGTTATTTGCAGAACTTCGATTGATATGCCATTGTTCGTGACTTGGTCGTTCGTTCCGGAAGATAGATATTGTTTTTAAGAGGTGTTTCGCCTTTCCATCTCTCATCGAAGCCAATACGTAAAAACGTGACAAAGTTTATTATGCGAGATCTAAAAATGTCGTGGAGTATGGTTTTCCAAAGAAAAATTTCCAAATATATCAAAACTAACTTAATTTGATTTATTAGAATAAAGCTTGAGGGCGTTGTTCCATAACTTTTTCCAATATTTCACAGCAATGATTTAGGGGGAGAGGGGAATCATGACATGCTATAATTTATTTGTCAAATATATGCGTACTAAACTTGAAATAGGGCCACTAAAACTCTTGACGTATTTAAACGCATTTGCAATTTTCCAACATATATTATTGCAAAGATAAAATTAAATTGAAGGTAAATGTATCAGGAAAGACACGGTGTTCGTGCCCCTTGCTAAGTGAGCTCAATCTTTAGGAAAAAAAATGCATTAAATTATTTTTATATTAATAAAATCATTTTGTACACTCAAATATATTCAATAAATTTTTAACTTATTTTTTTAAATTTAGCTTTAATTATTAAGTTCGGTATGTGCAATTTAAAGGATAGATTAAATTGTGCATCTTTTGAGAAATATTTATTTTATTTTACAAATGCCACACACTACAATATCACCTATGCCATTAGTGGACGTGCTCTCCAATATTTTTCGACGGTACAATTCAGACTTTTTAATGCAGGACGGACGTTCATGTTCAGCGGTCATAGGTTTACCAGAGTCACAAGGAATACAGTCCGGTGAGTCGGCGGTACCAATTCTGTACAGATGGGAACTCAGACAGTCATGCCCTGTCAAAAGTCTAAAACGAGCTACAGCAGCTTTTCTAGGAGCCCTAGGAACCCAGGAAGGGTTCGCGTTTAAGATTGCCCAGTTCTTGTCTTTCGACATCTCCACAGATTCCATTTTAAAATTATACTTACAGGTCATATTATAGTAAACAGCTTTGAGGAATTAAAGGTTGAAATTCTCGTGAATCTTTGTCTTTTGAGAAATAAAAACCAAAACTTTTTTAATGTTTACAATGACCTTCAACAGGATACAACTCTTAGTGATCAAGTTGGGTGTTCCTCTCAATCTTTCAAAAAAAAATTTCATTCTGGAATATCGATAATACTCAATGAACTTGATGCAAGATTCTTCTTCACTTACGTAGCAGCCCCTTATGGGCCCTAGCCTTCCTCAGGATTCATTCCATTCAATTTGTCACATTAATAGTTTTCCAAGTCTTTTCCAGGCAGTTAATCTACCATATTTGGGTTTCCATTTTTTGGGGAGCACCAAATGTTTTAGCGACTCGGTTGTCATCGAATCTTATTATGTGTCCTGTCCATTTAATCCTTTGTATTGCTATAATTTAACATCTGGATTTTAAAATAGTTTGTAAATTTTTGAGTTGGTTCTTCTCCAACAATTATAACACACTAGATTCCACACTAAAGATGCTTCTTAAAACTCTTTTTTCAAATATAGTATGCTCTATCTCTCTCAGTCACTGCCTATGTTTCAACAGCGTATGTGAGAAGGGGCCTGATCAATGTTTTGTAAACGGATAGTTTGGTTTTCCTGCTGATAAAACTTAATTTTAAATATTTTTGTCCAAAAAACAGATGCGAATTCAAAAGATTAAATATTTACAAGCTTTAATTCTATATGAACTTTTCCTAATTATTTAATTTATTCCAGAAATTATAAAAACCCTTTTCTATAGTAAAAACCCTTGTGCATGTAAAAATCCTTTTACATGCGCTGTTTTCTTATCTCAATTTGTAACTAAGCACAAAATTGTGTCATTTCCACAAAGAAAAAGAAACAACGACATTAACCTTTAACGCATTTTCTTAATTTACCTCGAAAATTGTTTTACGAGGAAGTTTGTAGTCATCAATCATTCAAAATGTCAGTAATATTTTACCAACTCTCAACAGAACAAAACAGATTTATCATACCAGGAGGAATCCTTTTGTTTTAATGACATAATACTACAGACTATCTTATACACTGTTGGGAGAGAAGCATTTGAGGAAAAACAGAACAAATAATTTTGCGTAGAACTATGCATGAACAGGGTAAATGAATTGTTTCAAAGAATCTCATAAGAGACCTGAACCCTCAACATAATACATAAATGATTTCGTTATATATAGAGAGACCATCTTATTTTTCCTTGTATAAGCCGAGAGTTTTCGGAATATTATTTTGAAGTTAAAGTAAGAAGTACTTATGTACGGATTCGCTAATCCCGTAAAAAGCATAGCTAAAGAAAAACGGATTTTTTTAAACATTTTTGATAGCTATGCACAAGCCAGTTAAAACATTTAACTTTTGGAGTGTTTGAATGGTGCTTTTATTTAAAAAATAAAAGAAGAAAAAGTCACATGAATCCTTCAAAGTCGGTGTCAGACTCTGATTCAGTGGGATGTCTGAACTTGCAGTATGAATTCAGATGCACACGAACTTATCTTCCCGTTCATTTTCTAAACAAATAAAAATGGCGCAAAAAGTAATGCTAACACAGAGTCTACAAAGTAACAAATGAATGGAAAATAAAATAGATTTAGACATAGTAAGTAGAAATAAAACTACCGCCGTTAGCGTTTGGCGTTGTGCTTTACAGGAATTTGATTGGAAAATATTCCATCCGTTTCGCAACATTTTCGACAACATGGCAACATGCCCAAAAATCTTACGATTTTTTTCTTCAGATAGGCTTATTTATGGGTTTTGGATTTTGGGTAAATTTTTGAACAAAAACACACCTTCAGTTCATTCAAGTATCGTCTTATAATCAAAAATATACGGTGAAAATATATATAAAAGATAATTTATATATAACCTAAACAAAATTCTATTTTCCATTTAATAATTATTTTCCCACCTTACAAACTCACATAAAGTTAAACGGCTAATACTTCCTCAAAAAAAGATCGTCCAAACTTCAGATTCTAATTTCATCTCATTTACTATTATGGCCATATAGGTCGCACTTTCCAACACTTTACTCTCCATTCGAAATCTATACTAAAAAAAATGTTAATTTAACAGTAAAGGAAATAAATGTACAATCCATTTCAAAATTGGAACAGTTGGCGTTGGTTTGCCTTGCAGTGATGTCGTTGAAGACTCTTAATGAATGAATAAAAATTGTTTCTCGAAAAGTCTCCCTGTTTACTTCAAAACGTTACACACATATATAGTAAAATATATCTACAATTCTTCCAGATATAAACAAAATTTAGACGTTGCTGAGTGGTTCTGTAATTTTTCGGACATTTCAACTTGATTAAGTTTAACAATGCATATTTGTTGATAAATTCATAAGCTTCAAAGAGTTTAAAAGAATTTTGCAATGGGTATACCAAGCAGTTCACTTGGTTTTGTACGTAAATCCAAGTTCTTAATGCATTAAATCGGAATCAAAACTCTCAATGTATTCTCAAAAGTGACATACTCAACTATCCAAACCTTCCAATTTGGTTACCTCATCCCCCTCAGTTAAGATAAATATCCATTAAGAGGTCATCACAGTTTAAGATGGGCAAATATCTACTTCAACTTATACACAGCAATTCCGAAGAACTACCACTGAAAACAACTATTATTCACCAACAACCGATTAGGTAATCGTCTTGGAACGACATTTTTTTTTTTTTTTGAAGATATATTATGGACTCCTACGTACAGATTCCACTTCTCAAACAAACAGTTCCGATCCCGAATTGAAGGTTACGCCACAATAAAAACAATCATTTCCTCAGGCAGATTTAAATAAAGAGTCGTCTC